GGGTGATGTGCAGAGGCCCAGGTGTGCTGGACCCCTAGTTTCTCCCACAAGCACTGGAGCCCAGCTGACATGAAATTGGACCCCTGGTCTGTAAAGACCTCCCGGGTGAACTCCACTCTGCTGAAGATGGTCAGCAGCGCGTCTGCCTCAATGGAGGACAGAGCCACCGCCTCTGGGTAGCGGGTAGCACAGTCTACCACCATCAGAATGTATTTCTTCCCTGCCCAGGTTGCCTTGCTGAGGGGCCCCACTATGTCCATGGCCACCTTCTGAAAAAGTTCCCTTATGATGGGCAATGGTCTCAGCACTGCTTTATGCTTAGCCCCATCCTCTGGCAGGGGTCGCAGGACCTGCAGTACTATTTGACTGTGTCAAAGACTCCAGGCCAGTAAAAGTTCTGCAGTAGCCTTTGCCGGGTGTGCTGTGTCCCCTGATGTCCTGAGGATATCGTGGGCCAGGTACAATAGTTTGCAGTGGTACCTCTGGGGAATCACCAGCTGCCTCCTGATCCCTCCAAGGTTCAATTTTCCCAGTGACAGGAATCCTTTCTCCCACAGGAATCTGTCCCTGCCGTTCTCCTTAAGGGGTTTTACACTGCTGTCATCAGCCGTGGCCCTCAGCTTCTCCAAGGAGGGATCCCTCTGCAGTTCAGTCTGAAATTCAGCTCCTGGGGTAGTGAGTGACCTGCCCCTCTCTGCTGGTAGGGGCTGGAGTCACAGCAACCTTTGACTGTGCCTTGGTTTCTAGTCTAACCTCCTTGACAGTGATGACCCTAGATGACTCTTGTGGTCCCTTCTAATCCCATGGTTCTATGTTCCCCACTTCGGGACAAAATCTCGGGCTCAGCCCCATCCCAGGGAGCGTATTCCCCCAAGGTGGACGCTCATTAGCTCCATGCTTGGTAGTCCAAGACCCTGGGTCGGGGTGGTGCTCTCTGGCTCTGGAAAGAACCAGGGAGCTCTCTGCACCATCCAACCAGTCATCCAGATCATTTCCCATCAGCACCTCCACTGGTAGATGATCCTGGGCCCCAGCCTCTTTGTGCCCTTCCTTGGCACCCCCATTTCAGGGATATCTTCACTACAGCACCTCACTGTGTCTGAACACCCCTCCTCATCGCCAGCTATTCATTGGGAACAAACTTATCCAGGGCCACCACATCGGGCCATGCCAGAGTCACCTCAGCACCCATGTCCTGGTAGCCCTGGGCCCTCCTCCCATCCACCTCTCTAGGGATGATATGGTGATGGCTGCCTGCCCTGTGAGTTAGATACACTTGGGCATGTGTGTTGACAGCAGAAGCTTGAACATCGCACCCCATAGATGGGCTGACCTGGAGACCTCCTCCCCCTGAGCCACAAGTACACTGTCAGCCCCGCCAGCCTGAGTATCTGGCCTTCGTTCCAGCTGGGCTTGCCCCAAGTTAGCCCTTCGAGGGCTCCGTTTGGCTACTATTTCATTAACCCTTGGCAGTTTTGCCCACCTAGGCTCTGTTTTCCAACAAACATTACATTTCAGGGCCTGAGCTCACATGGAGAGGGCTACCACATCAGCCATCACCACAGTTTAGATTTACTCATGTCCCACTTCTGGAGCACCCTTTTGTGACCCCCTCTTTGGGTCCCAGACCTGCACCAATCCCTTTGAGTCTCTTTTCATACCCGGGCCTTCTGTCAACAAATTCATCTGCCAACCAGCCTGCCCTGCACGGATCCTTAGGCCTCCTGTCCACTACCCACATTTTCAGCTCGTGGGGACAGATCTCACAGAGTTGTTCCAACCCAACAAGTTTGTACAAATCATCCAGTATAGCAACACCTGCACCTTATCCCATTAGTGGAGAGATTCTCCCAGCAGGGTGGTGGCAACCATATATGTCACACCCTGAGTCTTTTAAACCCACAACCTTTTCCTGTGAGCCTCAGGTGTCAATTGAACTTAAGTATCAGGGAGTAGCCGTGTTAGTCTGTATCTACAAAAACAACAAGGAGTCTGGTGGCAACTTAAAGACTAACAGATTTATTTGGGCATAAGCTTTCGTGAGTAAAAACCTCACTTCTTCGGATGCATAGAGTGAAAGTTACAGATGCAGGCATTATATACTGACACATGGAGAGCAGGGAGTTACTTCGCAAGTGGAGAACCAGTGTTGACAGGGCCAATTCAATCAGGGTGGATGTAGTCCACTCCCAATAATAGATGAGGAGGTGTCAATTCCAGGAGAGGAAAAGCTGCTTCTGTAATGAGCCAGCCACTCCCAGTCCCTATTCAAGCCCAGATTAATGGTGTTGAATTTGCAAATGAATTTTAGTTCTGCTGTTTCTCTTTGAAGTCTGTTTCTGAAGTTTTTTTGTTCAATGATAGTGACTTTTAAATCTGTAATAGAATGACCAGGGAGATTGAAGTGTTCACTTACTGGCTTATGTATGTTACCGTTCCTGATGTCCGATTTGTGTCCATTTATTCTTTTGCGGAGGGACTGTCCGGTTTGGCCAATGTACATGGCAGAGGGGCATTGCTGGCACATGATGGCATATATAACATTAGTGGATGTGCAGGTGAATGAGCCCTTGATGGTGTGGCTGATGTGGTTGGGTCCTCTGATGCTGTTGCCAGAGTAGATATGGGGACAGAGTAGGCAACAAGGTTTGCTACAGGGATAGGTTCCTGGGTTGGTGTTTCTGTGGTGTGGTGTGTAGTTGCTGGTGAGTATTTGCTTCAGGTTGGGGGGTTGTCTGTAAGCAAGGACTGGCCTGCCTCCCAAGGTCTGTGAGAGTGAGGGATCATTTTCCAGGATAGGTTGTAGATCGTGGATAATGCGCTGGAGAGGTTTTAGCTGGGGGCTGTATGTGATGGCCAGTGGTGTTCTGTTATTGTCCTTGTTGGGCCTGTACTGTAGTAGGTGATTTCTGGGTACCCGTCTTGCTCTGTCAATCTGTTTCCTCACTTCCCCAGGTGGGTATTGTAGTTTTACGAATGCTTGATAAAGATCTTGTAGGTGTTTGTCTCTGTCTGAGGGGTTGGAGCAAATTCGGTTGTATCTTAGGGCTTGGCTGTAGACAATGGATCGTGTGATGTGTCTTGGATGGAAGCTGGAGGCATGTAGGTACGTATAGCGGTCAGTAGGTTTCCGGTATAGGGTGGTGTTTATGTGACCATCACTTATTTGCACTGTAGTGTCCAGGAAGTGGATCTCTTGTGTGGACTGGTCCAGGCTGAGGTTGATGGTGGGGTGGAAATTGTTGAAGTCCAGGTGGAATTCTTCAATTGAACTTAAGTGTCTCTCACCTGGAGTCTAATGAACGAGGTCAGATGGAAAGACACACACAGCTTGAACAAAGGGGTTCACTACAGCTTGTCTGGGTGCTGGGCTGACCAGGATGGTCTGTGCTTTAATCTTCGTTTCTCTGGACTTAGAAGGGCTTCCTGTGCTGTGTGCCACTGACTAATAAACCCAACTGCTGTGACAACACTGTCTGAGTGTCCGTGCGAGTGCTTGGTGAGGTGCATTCATCCCTGCAGAGTGGACAAGTCTCTAGCAGGAGTCTGTCTCAATGAGACGTGCTGAACAGAGCTCATGCTGTGAAATAGGAGCGCTGCAGCCCCAGAAGTCCAGTCTAAGGAGGTTGCGAGACTGCATGGCTAACCCCTGGAGGAAGAGTGAGACCCCTGGGGAGAGGGGTCTGGCACACTAAAGGGCATCAGTATTGAGGAACAGCGGGGTGCTAGGAGCACATGGGGCAACTGGGAACAACAGGGTTCTAGAAGTGAGGCACAGAGGGCTTCTGGGGATGGGAACATGGGGCACTGGGGTAACTGGGAACAAGGGGGGCTGGGTGCAGGGTCACAGGGTACTGGGGTAGCTGGAAACAGTGAGATGCTGGGGACAGGGACAGGGGCACTGGGATAACTGGGAACAGTGGGGGGCTGGGGGCAGGGACACAGGTTATCACACTAGCCTTGGACTTGGGAGACCTGGTTTCAGTTCCCTGCTTGGTCATAGGATTCCCATGTGATCTTGGGCAAGTCCCATGAACCAGGCCAGTCCTCCATTCCTATCTGTGCAGGGATGCTAGGGGCGGATTTGGATTGTTGGAGCACAAATGTCCCAGGCAGCTCAGTGGAGCTCTAGGGACATAACTGGGGCAACAGTAGGATCAGAGGGGGTTTGTGATGGGTTACCCCCCCAAACTCCGGGATGCCACCTGATGTACTGGGGTCCCACTGAGCCCGCCCGTACCACCAGCCTGGGCTCCCTCACCCTGCCCTGCAGTGCCAGGCCCTCAAGCCTCCTCCAGCACACTCACAGGTAGGGACCCACCCAGCTGCAGAAAGACAGACACTGAGATCAGCTCTGTGTGGGAAGACTCAGCTCGGGGATTGCCCAGCACGCAAGTGCACACCCCCTCTGGAGTGTAAACCCAGAATTGCATTGTCTTGTGCTGCACAGAGAACTGTACAGCGCAAACTCATGAAATTCGCTCCCTCCCTCAGTGTGGAGGAAGAGATGCACAGCTTCCCCCCAAAGTTATGAATCGCACAAACTGGGTTTTAGAAAACAAAACAAGTTTATTAACTAGAAATAATAGATTTTAAGTGATTATAAGAGATACCAAACAGATCAAAGTAGATTACTGAGCAAATAAAGCAAACACACAAACTAAGCTCAATACACTAAAGAAACTGGCTACAAGTAGTAATTTCTCACCCTAAATGTTGTTTTAAGCAGGTTGCAGAGGTTCTTGAAGACAAACTTCTTTTGCTTGCAGCTTAGAATTCCAGATATTCCTTTTACAGGCCAGACACCTTCTAGCCTGGGTCCAGTTCCTCCCCAGTTCAGTCTTAGGTGTTTTAGCAGTCATCTTGGGCAGGGATTCAGTGAAGAACCAACCCCTGATTAACTCACTCCCCAGCCTTAAATAAGTTTATATATGGTGGGATCCTTTCTTTCCCAGTTTGATCCCCACCCCCTACTAATGAAAAAATACCAGCAGTCCAAGATGGTGTCAAGTACCAAGTGACATGATCACATGACCTTGCAGTGTCAAAGCAGTATCCCAGGAAGCTTCTCAGGAAGGTGGGAGATTAGCATCTTCAAAGACCTATTGTTCTCCCTAATGGTTTATTGACTAACCAGCCAGACTGATTGCATTTTGTCTGGTGGGTGTTCCCCAGGTGCAAACACTTTTGATACATAGTCAATATTCCTAACTTCAGATACAGACATGATACATGCATACAAATAGGATAATCACATTCAGTAAATCATAACCTTTCCAATGATATCTCACATGACCAATCTTGCATGAAACACATCTCAGTTATGCCATATTCATATCATAACAATATCTCTATGAAGAATATGGGGCGTAGTGTCACAGGGTTAGTAGGGTTCCAAGGAGGCAGTGTCGAGGACATCAGTTGGAAGCATAGTTGGGGGTCACTGGGGCTCCAGGGGAGGCTGAGACATACGGACTGATCACAGTGAGCCAAGGATGTAACCCAGGCTTCCAGCCCCTCACCTTCCGCCTTACCCACTATCCTCTGCTCCCCCGCCACCAGAGGCAGGGATAGAACCCAGGTGTCCTGGCTCTCAGGCACCGCCACACATACACTTCGACCCACTTGATCTCTCTCCACATGACAGTGGCAGTCCTTAGGGTTGTCTCGAAGATTTGCCAGTGTTCCCCAGGAGCCGTGCGGTTTCATTCATGCGCACACACACCCATGCTCTCTCCCGACCCTCTTCATCCCTTCCCCTCTTTCTGGGGTGTCACTGCAACACTCATGCTGTCTTCACTCTCCTCCAAGGCACCGTGGTGGTGAGCATCCAGGCCACACACGCAGGGGGCTCCTCAGGGCGCATCACCTACAGCATTGTGAGTGGCAATGAGAAGAATGCTTTCCTCATCCAGCCCAGCTCAGGTATGTGGAGCAGGAGGGAACACAGGAGCGATACTACAGCCTTATGGGAAAGCATAAATGGAGTGATCTGCAGGGCTCCCCAATGCCCTGTCTTTGTGTAGGCCTGCCTGCTTACCTGTACATCTGCCTGGCTCACTCCAGCTGGAAACCCCTAGGCCAGGAGATGAGGCCTTCTGTACAGCAGCTGACTTCATCCCACACAGCATTAGTGCTAATTATTTATCAGATACAATCCCAACCTAGCTCATATGAAATAGATTCAAATGGGCTAACGGAAAGATCTTAAAAGTAATTGTAAACAGGGATTCCTCATCCAGAGGTGTTTCTAGTGGGTTCTGCAGGTATCTATTGTCAGCCCAATGCTATTCAATATCTTCATCATTCTTCCATTTCTGGAAGAAAATACAAAGTAACAGCTGAGAGAACAGGCAGGCGACACAAACATTGGTGGAGTGGTAAATAATGGTGGGGACAGGTCAGTGCTACGGAGCGACCTGGATCACTAGTAAGGTGAGCTCATTTGCACAGCATGTTATTTAATGCAGCCAATACCCGGTCATCCTTCTAGGCATAAAGGATGCAAAACAGTGATGGTAAGCATATCTATGTGAATCGTGGCAAGCTGGGGTGTACACCTATCCTGCACTAGCCTGCTGCGCACTAAGTGTCCATGTGAAGTCTGCTGCTGCGCATTCAACGTTTCCTTGTGCCCTTTGATTTACCCTGCTGTGAAATGGGAGTAGAGCAAAGTGCACTAGGGAACAGGTAGTGTGGAGCAGGCTAGTGTGGGGTAGATTTAGTGTTAGTTTAGACTAGCCCACTGAAAAGGACTTGGAGTCCTGGTGGAATCCAGCCGAACATGAGCTCCCAGAGTGGTGCTCTAGCTGAGAGGGCAAACACGACCCTGGGGGTCTGGATAAGCAGGGTAGTATCCAGTAGGAGCAAGGAGGTGATATTACCCCTATACAGGATCAGTGAGACCATCACTGGACACTTAAGAACCGCACTACCTCCAGGACTGCACTAGTACCATTGGTCCGGACAGCAGGACCCCACGGACACTGGGACACACAGAGACCTACACAACACCAGAGGATATATTCCTTCCTTACCCGCAGTCTCCCCTCCTCTCCAGCCCAGCCCTCCTGAGGGACATTACTAGAGTGCAGGAGGATACTACTTCAGTGTGCCAGGAGTCGTCTCCTCTCCAACCATCAGGCAGGAGTGCTCCTGTACCAATGGCCTCGCCATTACCAGAGGAGCAGGTTTTGGACTTGGATGAGTCAGATGTGCTGGCTGCTCTGGTATTTTCATGGAGAGACGCTCGCTATCCTCCAGATACGCCTTCTCTAGGGACTGCTAGCACCTGATCTCATGGAGTCCTCCACAAATGACTGACCCCTCTTTCTGGCCTTACTGGGGACTATGGGATTCTAAGGCAGATGCCCAGGTCCTCTCCTCTCCTTTTTGCCACCAACCAGATATGTCAGTGTCTGAAGGGGAAGATACTCTCCTGGATCCACAGGTACCGACAGTTCCAATCGAAGTCTCATCCTCATCCACGGACAAAGCAGCCACTCCTTCCTCTCCATCTCTGCTGGACGACCATCGGCCGTACCAGGAGTTACTGCAAAGAGTTGCCAATGACTCCAGATACTACTGGAGGAAGCCCAGGACCCACAACACTGGTTCCTAGATATCTTGCAACTTCAAGAACCAAATACAGTGGCCCTTCCAGTTAATGAGGCCACTAGAACTGGCTAATGGGGCTGGCACACACCAGCATCCTACGCCCCACACCTAAGACAGCCAAGACCTGCCATTTTGTCCCCACCAAGGGAGACAAATGTTTGTTCTCCAATCCCATCCCCAACTCACTGGTGGTACCGGCAGCTACAGAAAGGGCTAGGTCGCAATATCTAAGGACGACCCCAACAAACAAGAGCTCAAAGAGGCTGGGACTCTTGAGGAAGGTCTCTTGCTCCGTGAGACTACAATTTTGCCTTGCTAACTGTTAGGGAAATACGACTTTAACAACTATTCCAGGCTGGTGAACTTTAAGGACTAATTTCCCCAAAGGACGGAGCGCAATTTCAGTCCTTCGTAGAGGAGGGCAAGTGAGTGGTGAAAACAGTCCTTCAGGGTGCATTGGATGCAGCAAATACAGCCTCCAGAAATCTGGTCACTGGTATAGTCTTGAGAAGGGATTCTTGGTTACAATTGTCAGGATTTCCCAGGGAGGTCCAGAGCGCCATTCAGGATGTTCCCTCTGATGAATAAAATCTCTTTAATGAGAAGTCAGATGAGTCCCTACGCTCATGAAAGTACTTGAAATCGACCCTGTGCTCCCTGGGATCTACACATCAGTCCCCAGAAGGAAACACCAGAGACAAACCTATAAATCAAGGCCATCTCCTCCTCATGTGTTCTACTACCGGCGTGCAGCTAAGCCTCCATGGAAATGCCAGAGGGTTCAGAGACCTCACTTCTCAGCCCCTTTACCAACACACCCTCTACACATTCCCAGTCACCTGCTACGGGCCACTGGTCAAGACTCACCTACCACCCCTGATGGCACAACCTCTTCCCCCATTATTTTGGGGACCTTCTCATGCTCTTCATCCACAACTGGCAGCTGATCACCACAGACAGTTGAGTCTTGGAGATTATCCAACAGGAATAATCCATAGAGTTCCTCTCCTCCTCCTCCCTCACAAACCCTTTCCTAGTCGTCCTCCTTCAAGGATTGCTCTCACAAGGTGCTTCTTCAACAGGATGCAAAATCCCTCCTACACTAAGAGACAATAGCAGGTGCCCCACCTCAGCATCAAGGGGAAGAGTTCTACTCTCCATATTTCCTAGTCCCCAAAAAAGAAGGAAGGTGGAGACCTGTTCTGGACCTTCGGCAACTCGTCATCTTTGAAATTCGAAATTCAGGAGGATTATATTGGCGTGAGTAATCCCCTCACCTTCAGGAGGAGATGTGGTGCACGGCTCTCGACTTCCTTATAGACATTCACCCCTCCCACAGGAGGTTCCTTCAGTTTATGGTGGGCCAGGAACATTTCCAATTCTGAGTCTTTCCCTTTGGGCTAGTGACAGTGTTCACAGAAGTTTTCGCTGGGGTGGCAGCCCAGATGAGACATCAGGGCTACACAGATTTCCTATACGTGAACTACTGGCTCCTGATAGGCTCCTCCTGCCAGGAGATCAGGTCAGCAACAGAGTTTCTCCAGAGTTCACCAAACTCCTAACAACGTCAGCCCACCACCCCATTCAAGATCCCCCCTTCTCTGACCTCCTAACTCAGGAGGGGGGCAGAATCAGACACCCCAACCCAGGCTCACTCCACCTCATGGACAGGTGTTTGGATGGGATTGGAAATAGAAAATTCCTGCTTGGCTCCTGGTCAAGCTATCCTTAGCCAAAGTAGGAAAGATTCGACTAGGACCTGCTACCTGGCCAAATGGAAGTGCTTCTCTGCACGGGGCACAAACAATCAACATTCTCCAGTCACTGCAAATATTCTGATCGTCTTTGATTATCTCCTGTCCCTAAGGCTCTCAGTTCTCTTAGTTCATTGTGCATCCACCTCACAGTGATTAATGCCTCCCTCCCTCCGGCAGACGGATAGTCTGTCTCCACCCACCCAGTTACAATTCGGTTTATGAAGGGCCTGATCAGGATCTTCCACCAGCCTACATCTCAAAGGGACCTTAATCTCATCCTGTCGACATTCATTAAACCACCCTTTCAATCCTTGGTCTGCATGGGCCCAACCTGTCCATAAAAATTGTATTTTTAGTGGCTCTCACTTCAGGAGGAGGGCTAGCTCAGGGGTTTGAGCGTTGGCCTGCTAAACCCAGCGTTGTGAGTTCAATCCTTGAGGGGGTCATTTAAGTGTCTGGGGCAAAAATCTGTCTGGGGATTGGTCCTGCTTTGAGCAGGGGGTTGGACTAGATGACCTCCTGAGGTCCCTTCCAACCCTGATATTCTATGATTCAGCCAGGAGTGGCAGCAAGGTAGGAGCCATCATGGCAGACCCTCTGTATACAGTTTTTCACAAAGAGAAGGTTTCCCTTCACCTGCATCCTAAATTTCTCCCCATAGTTGTTTCTGAATTCCACATCAACCAGAGTATCCACTTACCCGTCCTTTTTCTGAAACCCCATGTATCACGGAGTCCCCGGGCGATGCTCTGGAACTGCTCCCCACAAAGCCAGTCAGGACTTTAGGGAGCCTCCTCTCCCTTGGAGCAGACTGTCTTCAGGGCAAGAAGCTCACACGGCTTCACCTCCTGGGTCTGACCTTGGAGCATTCAGCATATGCCCCTCCGTGCACTTCCCCCAGGAGTCAGCCCAGGCGGGGTCCTGGGGAAGCCAGAGGGTCCTGCACGCACCCCCACTTCGCAGTCAGACGTGACTCTCAGCCAGCCAGTAAAACAGAGGTTTATTAGATGACAGGAACACGGTCTAAAACAGAGCTTGTAGGTCCAGAGAACCGGATCCCTCAGCCGGGTCCATTCTGGGGTCCCGCAAGCCAGACACCCCCGTCTGCCCTCACTCCCCATCCCCAGCCAGTTCCAAACTGAAACCCCCTCCAGCCCCTCCTCTCTGCTGAGTTCCTTTCCCGGTCCAGGAGGTCACCTGACCTCTTTGTTCTCCCACACCTTTAGCATCCCCTTGCAGGGGGGAAGGGCCTGGCCATTAGTTGCTAGGCGACAGAGGGTCAGCCAGAAACTGAGGCACCCACACAGTATTCAGAGGAAACATTAAGAACAGTCCCACTTCGTCACATCTCTCCCCCTTTCGAGACCGAACTGAGCGAGGTCACTTTAGCCGGTGACCTGGGGAAGTTCGAACCCACCAACGTTCCCATGGATGCCCCATCATCTTTCCCATTCCTTGGTGTGAGTTACACCAGGAAATTCCAGTTTCAGGCCCTCCTGTGGGTCTATTGTTCTTGATGGCGCTTGCAGGCTGCATGTGGGAAGGTTTATG